GCAGCTCAATTTTTAATATTTTTATGGGCTTCAATTTCTTGTGTTTTGCTAACTTGTTCTTTGAATGGTCTCTATTGTTTTTTCAATGCCCTATGGTACAGCCACCCAAAATTATCCCAATGCTTCCCACACTTGTTGCCAGATAATCTTATGCAAATTTGTTATAGCTTATGTGATCCCAGTTTTTCCCTTACCATTATATCAACAGGTTACATCATCTTCAGTCATAACAATTTCCTTTTATGTCTATCCATTATATTGTGTCTCATATTTTTGAAGCTTTTTGTCAGTTTCAGGTGTTGATTTCATGTCATTATTCTGTGTCCTCAATTTGTGGGTATAGTAAGATGTATTTTTATGTATGTGTACAGTCTATTACTTGTGAATTATTTGGGCATGCATTTTTACTGTACAAGCTGGGGTTTGTGCTAGATTTCACCTAAATTAATGCTCAGCCTTAAGCTTAGGTTTTGGCTGTGTTTGTATATGGCATGTCCAATAATACTTGTTTAAGCTGTCTTTTTTTATTATTTATACTTTTATTTTATGTCAGCTTTGGTTGCTTCTCTGTGATTTCTTTTGCTAATTCTTGTGTTTTAGGTATATGAGCGTATCAAAGCCCCTCTCTTGACTCAAGTGAGCTCAGGAAGTCCAGAACAATCTTATGCAGTTTTAAGTCACCTGCATCTTTTGGTCATGCGTGCACCTTATATATTTTCCTCGGACTATAAACACTTCTATTGCCAGTATAATGAGCCATCATATGTTAAAAAGTTGAAGCTTGAAATGCTGACTGCAGTTGCAAATGAAAGCAACACATATGAGATAGGTAAGTAACACCAATTTGCTATACAGAGAGAGGTTAAGAAGAAGGAGTAATTTTATGTAGGATGATTGAATGTCTATTCCTTGGTTTGAGCCCCCCTTCTCATGACTTATTTGTGAATTTCTTGGATCTCATTTCAGTGACAGAACTATGTGAATATGCTGCAAATGTTGATATTCCGATTGCAAGGGAATCAATACGAGCTGTTGGGAAGATAGCATTGCAGCAGTATGATGTCAATGCTATTGTTGATCGACTTCTCCAGTTTCTTGAGATGGAAAAGGACTATGTTACTTCTGAAGCTCTGGTAAACATTACAAGTTCCTGCTAGATACATTGGAACTTGTGCCTAAGAGTAGTAACACATTGTTTCATATTATTAAGAAAACATGTGTAAGTATGGCATTTTGGCCTTAGTTATAGTAAGGTAGACTAATGCAAATTTTGAAAGTTCATTTGTACAGGTGCTTGTGAAAGATCTGTTAAGAAAATATCCACAATGGAGTCAAGATTGTATTGCTGTTGTTGGAAATATCAGTAGCAAAAATGTTCAAGAACCCAAGGCTAAGGCAGCTCTTATATGGATGTTGGGAGAATATTCTCAGGACATGCATGATGCTCCATATGTCTTGGAGAGTTTAGTTGAAAATTGGGATGAGGAGCATTCGTCTGAGGTAGTGTAACTTTTTATGCTTTACAACCTTTGCATTTTCCACATATGAGATTTAAATTTCCTATTGAATGCCAAGTTATGCCCGACCCAACAACATGGGGCAATTAATCATATAGATTCAGTTCTGCCCATGTTGTACTTATATTCCTTGATGGCAGGATTCAACCTTTTTCATTCAGCATATCAAACATAGACATTTTAGCAATCTGGACCAAAACAAAAGAAATAAAATGGTGCAAATTAGGCCAAGATTGCAGATTTTAAAATCGCAAAAAATTAGAGGACCCAAAGTACAATTTAGCCTAAATTTTGCAATTGGGTTTGATTAAGCAGTCTTGGTTGAGTGGGTTTGACAAAAACCTTTGAGCAGTTCAATCGGTCCCATTTTGTGCTGGACTAGCCTAAGCTTTAGTTCTTCTAAGCTGCCAATTTTGTGCAAATGGGTTAGCACAAGCATTAGCTATTGTTCTTCTTAAACATGAGAATCCCCCTTACTTCAATAATTCCTCTCTGCCTTAGTATTTTGTCTTAGTATCTTCATGGAGAACAGCAGGCTTGCATTAACCAGCCTTTGCATCTCTCCCTGGACATGCATGAGAAATATTGTTGGGTTTGGATTGAGGGAGGTCCTAATTTGATTTTCATGTAATTATTGTTGTAATAATGATAAAAACATGATTTCCCGGCAATTGCGTGTAATCACAAAACCATTGCTTGTCTGAGAAATATAAAGTTATTTAGCAGTATGTCTTGTAAGTATTGCAATGAATGCAGTATTTGCTTGTAATTATGCTTACTTAAGTATATTTTAAACAACTGCTGTCTTACGATGCAGGTTCGCTTACATCTTCTTACTGCAGTTATGAAGTGTTTCTTTAAGCGACCACCTGAAACTAAAAAAGCATTAGGTGCTGCATTGGCTGCCGGACTTGCTGATTTTCACCAGGTTCTAAATTGTTACTAATTTGTACTTTGAATTGTCAAAACAATGAATTGCTTGGATTGGAGTGGTATATTAAATGAGCCTTTGTTGATTGCAGGATGTTCATGATCGGGCCTTATTTTATTACAGGCTTCTGCAATACAATGTATCAGTGGCAGAGAGTGTGGTTAACCCTCCAAAGCAAGCAGTTTCAGTATTTGCTGATACTCAGAGCAGTGAAATCAAAGATCGTATATTTGATGAATTTAACAGTCTGTCTGTTGTATACCAAAAGGTAACCAATCTATTATCCTCCCTCCCAGAGGCTTTAATGAACAATTTGTTGAGTTTGGACCAATTTTAAGTACTTGAAGCCATTTCTAAATTAAATAAAATATTTTACTTTTTTGAACAAATTTAAAGATAAAATGGACGGAAAATAATAAATAATTCACGTTACCATTTAAAGTATGTTTTTTGTTTCTTGAATTCTTCCATGTAAAATGAGCCTGACTTCATAATGTTTCACCTGAGATATTCTAAACAATATGCTGATGCTGCTATAGTTATTTCCATTAGAATTCATTTCTAACATTTTAAAAATATAAAATAGTGTTCCTCAACACCTTGAAGCTTTCACCTTTCTCTGTGATAGGTTAATTAAACTCTATATCTAATATTGATATTAATTGCAAGTTAAAACATGTTTATATTACTGTGATACATATGCATGTCTAAATCTGACAAACTAACAATAGCAAATTCATGCAGCCTTCTTATATGTTCACTGATAAGGAACATCGAGGGACATTTGAGTTTGCAGATGAACTTGGAAATCTATCTATTACGGCAGAATCTGCAGATTCTGTTGTTCCTGCTCAGCAAGTGGAAGCAAATGACAAGGATCTGCTTCTAAGTACTTCAGAAAAAGATGAAGGAAGAGAACCTGGTAGCAATGGTTCTGCCTACAACGCTCCTTCCTATAATGGTTCATCTGCAACTTCACAACCACTTGCAGATTTGGCATTTCCAAGTACTGGCATATCAGGTCAAGCACCAGCTTCTAACTTGGCAATTGATGATCTGCTTGGTTTAGATTTTTCAGTTGGGACTGCCACCACGCCTTCACCTCCTCCGTTGAATCTAAACCCAAAAGCTGTACTGGATCCTGGCACATTTCAGCAGAAATGGCATCAATTGCCTATATCTTTATCAGAGGTTTGCTTTTAAATTATTATATCAGTTTCACTAATGTGATAACTTGCACTTGAACGCATTCTTATAATAAAAAAGTTTTGCAATGTCAGCTAATGATGTGATGCGACATCATTTAATGAACATGACATCTTATAAGTTGTTAAGCTTATTGAAGGATGTACAGCACCAAATAATTGTATGATTGTGTAAAACTTTAATAGACATTTTTTTTGTTGATAATTCTTTCATGATTAAAATTGAACTACATAAATGTTTTGTATGTACTCTATCTTTTCTCTCTCTTTTTTTCCTCCCAACTATAGTTAATGTCAAGCATTTTTATTTGCTATATAAACTGGTTCAGGAATATTCTCTAAGTCCTCAGGGAATCGCATCCTTGACAACTCCCCATGCACTCCTGCGGCACATGCAAAGTCATTCAATACAGTGCATCGCATCCGGCGGTCAATCTCCCAACTTTAAGTTCTTTTTCTTTGCTCAGAAAGCTGAAGCAGCATCTATGTATCTTGTCGAGTGTATAATCAACACATCGTCAGCCAAGTCCCAGATTAAAGTAAAAGCCGATGACCAAAGCTCATCCCCGGCATTCTCTACATTATTCCAATCAGCCTTGTCAAAATTTGGTTTACCTTGAAACTTGCACCCTTTAAAGCTGTGCAATTGGCAGTCGAGAAATTTTGGAATCCTAGATTGAATATATAAGGAAATGGAGGATATCGGCTCCATAACCACTCGCAACAAGTTTTCAAAGAAGTAATCAGATCGGTGGATAAGAAGAAAATGCCTGCGGGATTCCATTGCCTAAAAGATTTTGTAGTTATTTGTATCCCAATCAACACGATGATCCATAGTATATTCAGTCATAGAAAACCTATTCTGGGATGTAAGTTAGATGTTGATTTTCTGACTTTATCCAGATGTTCATTGTGTTTTAGGTCATTATTGACATTGATTGACTGGTGGTTAATTTCGGTGACGGGTTGGCTGTGAAATATGAGTCTGGATTCCTTTATCAGTTGATTGCTTAATACACAAATGATAATGCTTGTTGTGTTGTTGCTTGTTAGTTTGCATTAGGTGATTTTTAAATTTATTGCAGTGAGCTGTAGATACTGTTCACATCAAGTATTTTAACGACGCAATGGTTCACTTAATTTTTCTTAGCGATCATGATGAACATTTTTTCTGAAAATGTTTCTGCTTAAAAAAAGAGGTCACAGTGTTTGTTGAATTTACACTATTAGGATAATTTTAAAATGAATTTGAAATCATGCATCGGCTTAATGAAAAAAATTTCTCAGCTGAAGCATAGGGCCAGTGCTAGACTTTGATTCAATTTGGTTAAAATTTTTGGGATGAGTTCACCAGTAATCTCCACACGAACAAAAGCCGTTCTCAAATCTGTGAAACCTATTTGTATCTCTCACCACAAAAACAATCTTCAAAACCTTTGACAAACCCTTGATGAATGCATGACAATCCCCACAAACCCTCAAGTTCTTGAAAATCCTAATCACACTTTCTCCTTTTAGTCCACGTCTAACCAAAACCAATCCAATAGCCAATTTCTCGCTATGAACCCTCAAACTTTCCACCTTTGACTCCTCTTCAACATCATGCAATGCAAAATTTACACTATGAACATACCCCATTTCATCCTTCACCCTCTTCTCCACTTCTTTTAACACTTTATGAATTTCCCCTATGAGAGGATGCATTCCATCTCCATTGTAGAAAATGTGGATTTCCTTGTCTATCTCTACCCAGCTGCGTCCTGCTTCTTTCTTCAATCCCTTTCTCTTCGCAGTTTCTCTTAGTTTCTCACTCTCTTTCCAATACCCTCCATCAGCATACATGTTTGACATCATCACATAGTTGGCTGGATTATTACCATCCAATCTCAAAAGTATTTCTCCCACTTGTTTCCCCATTTCCACATCTACATGCATTCTACAAACACTAAGTAATGTTTGCCATATGCCCACATTCGGCTTTAGGGGCATTTTCTCAATGAGATCCTTTGCGTCCTTTAAAAGTCCACCTCGTCCAAGGAGATCAACCATGCAAGCATAATGCTCTACTTGCGGTTGGATTTGCTGACTGCTACATAAACTAGAGAAGTATCTTTTACCTTCCTCGATGAGTCCAGAATGGCTGCAAGCTGAGAGCACAGCCAAGTAAGTTACACTATCAGGTTCAATTCCGTTCAATTGCATTTGGTTAAAGAGTTCAATTGCCTTATTCCCAATACCGTGCTTCCCATAACCAGTGATCATAACGGTCCATGAAACCACATTTCTTGCTAGCATCTCTTTGAAAAGTGCATCTGCCTCATTTGTTAGTCCGCATTTCATGTACATGTCCAAAACTGAATTAGCAACAGACATTTCCAATAAACCATACGGCACTTTGATGGTATAAGCATGCATTTGCTTCCCCTGCTCTGCAAGAGCAAAATCAGCAAATACCCCTATGAGACTTGAGAGTACAAACCTATCCATTCTATGTCTGCTCTCTCGCAACTCCCTAAACAATTCCATGGCTTCTGTCAAATTATCTTCATGTGCATAACCAAGAATTAGAGTGCTCCAAGACATCACACTCTTCTCAATTCGATCGAACACCCTCCTAGCCTCAATCATGCGCCTGCATTTGACATATAGGTCAACCAGAGCACCTGCAACAGCTGATTCAGCCAAGTAAGGAAATCCATGTCTAATTAACACAGCATGGGTTTGCATTCCTTCTCCCACTGCACCAGCACAATTGCACGCCTTCAACGAACTAGAATATGTATATCCATCAGGAACTTCCCCCACCGCTCGCATTTCCCGAAATAAATTCAAAGCCTCTTCACCATTTCCATTGTTGCAGTACCCAGCAATCATTACATTCCAACTTATAACATTTCTCACCGGCAAAGTGTTGAATACTTGCGCTGCCTCACGAACCATACCACACTTGAAGTACATGTCCATCATAGAATTGCCCACAACAGGTACCCAATCAAAATTAGATTTTGCACAAACACAATGTATCTGCATTCCATTCTGAGCGATTCCCAAAATCCCAGATGCTTTTAGACTCGTGGAAAGTGTGAACTCATTTGGCCTAATATCTGAACGACCCATTTTAGAAAACAAAACTAAAGAGGCTTTGACATCACCATTTTGCAGATGCCCACACATAAGAGCCGTCCAAGAAACTACATTTCTCTGAGGCATTCGACCAAACACTAAACAAGCTAAATCCGCGGTACCACATTTTGCGTACATATTTATAAGATCATTGTTCAAAACCAAATCACGCCCAAACCCTAGTTTCTCCGCAACACCATGTGCTTGCTTTCCCTGATCAAGCAAATGACGCTTCGAACACTTGTTCAGAATCTTACTCAATAGTCGTCCCTCGTTCATCGATGGGGGTAAGAGAATTAGAAAACCGTTTCGTCACAACCCTGAGAACCTGTGCGAAAATCGCGGAACTGAAGAAGCTTCACGCCCACATCGTGAAGCTATCACTGTCACAGAGCAACTTTCTGGCCACCAAAATGTTGGACGTATGCGACAACTTGGGTCACGTGGATTACGCGACCTTGATATTCCAAAACCTAGAGGACCCAAATGTGTTCTCTTACAACGCAATAATCAGAACCTGCACTCATAATCACAAACATTCTCTGGCAATTACTGTGTTCAACGAAATGCTCAGACATGAAACGAAATCAGCATTGCCAGACAAATTCACGTTTCCTTTTGTGATAAAGTCGTGTGCGGGTCTTCTGTGTCGTCGTCTTGGGCAGCAAGTTCACGCGCAAGTGTGCAAGTTTGGACCCAAGTCCCATGCAATAACGGAGAATGCGCTTATTGATATGTACACGAAGTTTGGCGATTTGAGTGGTGCGTACCAAGTTTTTGAGGAAATGACTGAGCAAGATGCGGTCTCGTGGAACAGTATAATCTCGGGGCACGCGAGGTTGGGGCAGATGAAGATTGCTCGGGAAGTGTTTGATGAAATGCCTTTTAGGACAACTGTGTCTTGGACGACTATGATTAATGGGTATGCAAGAGCAGGGTGTTATGTTGATGCGTTAGAGATTTTTCGCCAGATGCAAGTGGTGGGTATTGAGCCTGATGAGATTAGTGTAATATCTGTTCTGCCGCCGTGTGCACAGCTTGGGGCTCTTGAGGTTGGGAAGTGGGTGCACAAGTACTCGGAGAAAAGTGGGTTTTTGAAGAAGACCAGTGTGTGTAATGCACTGATTGAAATGTATGCTAAGTGTGGCTGCATTGATGAAGCTTGGTGCTTGTTTGATCAGATGGTTGAGAAGGATGTGATTTCTTGGAGTACCATGATTGGGGGACTGGCTAATCATGGAAAAGCGTATGAGGCAATTCGAATGTTCGAAGATATGCAGAATGCAGGAGTGGCTCCTAATGGGGTAACATTTGTTGGTGTGTTGTCAGCTTGTGCTCATGCGGGGTTTTGGAATGAGGGATTGAGGTATTTTGATGTTATGAGGATGGATCATCATTTAGAGCCAGAGATTAAGCACTATGGTTGTCTAGTTGACCTTCTAGGACGCTTGGGACGGCTTGATCAGGCTCTTGACACAATAATGAAGATGCCAATGCAACCGGATTCGACGATATGGAACACATTGTTGAGCTCTTGCAGGATTTATCGCAGTCTTGAGATTGCTGTTGTTGCCATGAAACAGCTTTTAGAGCTTGAGCCAGAAGCGTCTGGAAACTATGTCTTGCTTGCCAACACATATGCAGAACTTGGCAAGTGGGAAGGTGTTTCAAATGTTAGGAAACTTATACGAAGCAAGAGGATAAAGAAAACACCAGGGAGTAGCTTCATTGAGGTTAACAACATGATTCAGGAATTTGTATCGGGTGACGATACAAAGCCCTTTTCACAAAATGTTTTCTGGATCCTACGAGGGCTCACTTTACACCAGACTAGAATCACTGACTTCATGGAGTTTGTCGCAGAAGAAGGCCAAGTTTACAGTAAAACTATGCCTTGAGTATTATTTTTATCCTTATAAAATTTTTATAATTATATATATATATGGCACCAGCACATATATTTGTAAAAAAAAAATGTTAAGAGAGAATGCGTGTTAAAGGAAGAAGAGTAAAAAAAATATTAAGATAAAAGATATATGAAATATTACAATCATTTTGGATATAAGAAAGACTAGATTCTTAATTATGAAAGAATTGGTCGAGAGAGATAAAAGTTTAAGGTTTTAAATAGCTGTATAGGTTATTCTTTCAACTAATCCTTTTAGGCAAGATTATCTTATTCATGATTTGAATATACAGCTGACATCTTTAAAAGATGGTCGATAAAATAATTATAATTGATATGTCTTACTTTCGATGGTCAACGCAAATGACAAAACTAAAAGTAATTATGATTGACACGTCTTACTTTTGCCGGCCGACACAAACGCTAAAGCTGAAATTAATTACAAGTAATTTTTTCTTTATGGTGGGACCCAGACATCTTTTGGACAAAGGATCATAGAAGTCCAACTTCTTACTCGGATGTCATCTTTTAAATTGTAGTTCATTTAGAAATAAAGGCTAATCATTTTCTATAGATCTTCTTTTGATTTTTTCTGTAATTACTAAAATTGAGTGAAATCAAATTCTTCTTCATAAGGATCTTGAGCATCTTGGAGATTAATAATGACTTTACTTTTGGCATCTTCATTATCAGAGCCCAAAGAGGATAATACTTCGAACATTTTTTGTTTTAATTGGATATTTTCTTCCTTGGATGAGGGTATTTTGAATAGATTTATTATCACTTTTCCTTTTTCTTCTGTGGATGGGACCTCTTTTCGAATTGGGCTGGATTGGATCATGAGGCTCATTTTCTTCTAATTGTCAAATTTTTCTTCAACATATCGTGTTTCAAATCTTTTACACCAAAAGACTTTGATCTTTAATAAGAGGATTTTTGGGAAAGTTTCTTCTTTATGTTGATGAACTTCGAGGATATGGGTTAATAGTCAACTTATGCCCATAGAAGAACAAAATTTTATAATTCTTAGGTGAGGTGGGTATTGAAAGTCCCACATCGCCTACCTCATATCATTTGATATGGTTTAAATACATGTTAGGCTACTCCACATATTGCCAATTGGTTTTATGTTGGAACCTTAACATGGTATCAGAGCCAGGTTAACATCTTTCCGGTTATTGTCATGGGCCAAAAAGTTGTCCTTTAGTTGTATTAAAAATACCCTTTGTCTGGTCTGACAGGCTTCGTTGGAGGGGGTGTGTTGAAAGTCCCACATCGCCTACCACATATCATTTGGTATGGTTTAAATACATGTTAGGCTACTCCACATATTGCCAATTGGTTTTATGTTGGAACCTTCATTGGGTGTGAGACCTTTATATTTCTGGTAGATTTTCATAACTGATTCAGGAATAATGGATTAGACTGGGCCTATCTGATGGAACCATTCTACAAACTAGTTGGGTATGGAGGAGGTTAATTCTTTCTTAAAGCATATGTACCAAGAGTGACTATGGTTAGTATCCAAAAGGATCTTACTTCAGGTTTCTTGATGATCGAAGTAATTATATGAAGGGGGTCAAAGGGCCTCGAAAAGCTCTTTTTTGTAAAAGGGTGTTGATTCCAATCTTGGTAGGATAATATTCAGATGATTCTTAGCTTAGAATAACTGGTAATTGAGGGATCATTTTCATTGGGAGTAGAGGTTATTTCAGCGAATCCTGTGTCTATTAGAATAAGTTGGTAATTTTTTTTTGTTTTCTTTAGATTTTCTAATTTAGGAATCCAGCTCCATCCCAGAGGAGCTAGTTTTTTTATTATATTCTGAGGGTCTTCAGGGTTATAATCTTCTTCTAGGACAACAAGTCTTTAACATCCTTCTTTAATATGAAATTCTTTCTTCAAGATTTTTTCATTTGGAGTTGGTTGAGGGGTTTTTGGTTTTAATATAGTAAATCTATTTGGTTGGGTGATTATTGAAGTGGGAAGTTTCGGGTGGAGGTAGTTTTTGAATATGATGGGGCAAAGTCATCTAGAGAAAGTCCAGATGGCTTTGGGCTTTTCAGGAGTTTGAACTGCTCAGCTGAAGTTGGGTTTGTTGAAGGGGTTACCATGGTTGTGACCCTGCAAAAATTCTCGAGTTAAAAAGTCTGGTATCGAATTTTTTTTCCTTTGATAAACTCTATATCAAATTCAAAACACGATAATAAGTTTTGCCATCGAACAAATATTTGTTTAGAAATTATATTTTTCATATCTTTTTCTAAAACTTCTTTGACGGATTTACAATCAATTCTTAACAAAAAGTTTTTATTTATTAAATCTTGTTGAAATTTTTGGATATTTAAGATTATACTCAAAACTTATTTTTTGATAGTAATGTAATTCTTTTGAGCCTCATTCCAAATTCCCAAGTAATATCTTACTATTTGTTTGGGGTTTTTTCCTAAATTTTGTTTTAATATGCGTTTGTATCCTAAATCAGAAGTATTTGTTTCTACTATCATTTTTGCTTCTAAATGTGGTATTCCTAAGTATGGTAATGTTTTGACTATCTTTTTAACCTCTAATACTATTTCTGTCTTCTCTAAGGTCTATGATTTGAGATTTTTTCTAAGTCTATTAAAAAGGGGTTTACACAATATTCTTAGGTTAGGGATGAAGTCGGCTACATAATTTAGGCAACTTAGAAATCTTTGTAATTGAAGTTTATCTTTTATTTCATTAGGGAATTTTTCATAAAATTCAATACTTCTTTTAATGAGTGTTATAGTTCCTTGATTTATTTCATGTCCTAAGAATCTTATTTTTGTCTGGGCCATTTTTATTTTATTTTCTTTTTTATATTATTATTCTATTTGCCTTTATAAGATTTTTAAATATTCTTAAATGTTTTTTATGTTGTTCAATTGATTCAGAAAATATTAATACATCATCGATGTAAACGATTGCAAATTTGGAGTAAGGGTTTAGTATATCATTAATTATTTTTTGAAATTCTAAATGTGCGTTTTTCAATCCCATGGGCATTACATTCCATTCATATTGCCTAAATGGTACTATAAAAGTAGTTTTGTATTTATCTTGTTCTTTTATTTTAATTTGATAATATCCACTTTTCATATCAAATTTAAAGAATATTGTAGCCTTATAAATTATACTTATTAATTCAGCTTTATTAGGTAGAGGATATCTAATCCATTTTAAGACCTTATTTCGTGGTTTATAATTTATTATCATTCTTGGTTCTCCTCTTTATATTTCAGAGGCATTTTGCACATAAAATGCAGCACAACTCAATGGAGATTTGTTAGACACAGGATCTGTCAAAATAACCCATATTCCCAATGAAAAGGATCCCTCAATTACTAATTATTCTAAGCTAAGAATCATCCAAATATTATCCTACTAAGATTGGAATCAACACCATTTTACAGAAAAGAGTTTTTCAAGGCCCTTTGACCCCCTTCATATAATTACTTCGATTATCAAGAAGTCTGGAGTAAGATCCTTTTGGATACTAACCCTAGACACTCTTGGTACATATGCTTTAAGAAAGAATTACCCTCCTCCATACCTAACTGGCTTGTAGAATGGTTCCATCAGATAGGCCTAGTCCAATCCATTATTCCCGAATCAGTTATGAAAATCTATCAGAAATATAAAGGTCTCACGCCCCATTACCCACCTTACCTAAGAATTATAAAATTTTGTTCTTCTATGAGCATAAGTTGGCTATTAGTCCATATCCTCGAAATTCATTAACATAAAGAATAAACTTTCTCGAAAATCCTCTGCTTAAAGACCAAAGTATTTTGGTGAAAAAAATTTGAAACACAATATGTTGAAGGAAAATTTGCCAATTGGAAGAAAATGGGTCTTATGATCCAATCCAGTCCAATTCGAAAAAAGACCCCATCCATAGAAGAAAAAGAAAAAATGATAATAGATCAATCCAAAATACCCTCATCCACGGAAGAAAATGTCCAATTAAAACAAAAAATGTTCGAAGTATTATCTTCTTTGGGCTCTGATAATGAAGATGACGAAAGTGAAGTCATTATTAATCTCCAGAATGCTCAAGATCCTTATGAAGATGAAGAAGAATTTGATTTCACTCAGTTTTAGCAATTACAGAAAAATCAAAAGAAGATCAAAAGGATTAGCCAAATTATGAAGAAATTAGAAAATTTATCTTTAAATGAACTACAATTTTGAAGAAGACATTCGAGTAAAAAGTTGGACTGACATGGTCATTCATTCAAAAGATATCTAGGTCTCATCCATAGAGAAAAAGTCACTTGTAATTAATTCAGCTCTCTGATTTATATCGACTGTAAAAAAACAAGACATGTCAATTGAAATTATTTTGTCGACCACCCTTTAGAAGTGCCAACTATATATTCAAATCATGAATAATTGAGAATCTTGCCTATAAAAAGATTAGTTGAAGGAGTAGTCGATACAGTTCTTCAAAACCTTAAACTTCTATTTCTCTAAACCAATTCCTTTGTAGTTAACCCAACCTCCTTTCTTGTATCTAGAATTATTGTAATATTTCATGTATGAATCTTTTATTTTAATATTTTATTTACTCTTCTTCCTTTAATATGCTTTCTCTTTTAACATTTTCTTTTTTAACAAATATATATGTTGTGCCAAAAAAAAAAATATATATATATATATATATATATATATATATGAATTATGATTTAATTCTAGTAAAGAATTTATACATTTAATTCCTTCAAATTTTAAATCACTGTTTTTAGTTCTTAATATTTCTTTTATGAAAAATAAATAATCTTTATTTTGTAAATCTTTATTTTTTTTTTCATACTGAGAATCTAAAAAGATAAATATTTTTTTTACAGAAATGAGAAACACAATCACTTATATTACTTAACATTAAAAACATAAACCCTACAAATATTTAATTTGAGATTTGTCTATTGTTGCAGTCTAGTGAGTTAGCCTAACTAAACCCTAGAATTTCAAAACGCGTTCAAGTTGCCGAAGGAGGACTCATTGGTGGCGAATTTGAACGAACCAAAACTGTCACTGGTGACATATCAATTGGTTCAATCGTGAACTACATGGTAGTTTTGCTTTCAATATCCAATAAGTTCAGTTAAATAAATATGAAAATACGCACATACATTGCAAATAAAAAATGGTAAAGGCCAGATGATACTTGTGAAGCTAATTCTATACCAGTAAAGTAGCCACCATTATCAATCATGTAGCAAGCATTTCTCTTCTTTCAAAAGCAGCACACTAGGGTAGGCAGCAGAAGTCTAGGATGGTTGATCGGATGGCACAATGCGTCTGAATACGGCCTGGAAAGTTTGTCCCCCATTCCTAGCAACCTTTTGGCCTTCTTCAGTTGCAGAACTTAAAAGCTCTACAACTGGATCTGCCACAAGTTCCTTCCTAGTAAGGGCTTCGAACATAGGATGATTCTCCAGACAAGACTTCATCCAGTCTCCAAGCTCTTCTACATCCGTTATTGTATAAATAATGCCACCAACCTCAAGAACATAAGCATACTCATCTAGCAAGAATGGACTGATAACCCGGCGGCGATGATTCTTCTCTTTGAAATGAGGATCAGGAAACAAGAAAAACATCTTTGAGAGCTGTCCTTTCCCAAAATAATTGGGAATGTACTTCATGGAGTTCGTTCGCACCACAGACACGTTTTGGTATTGACCTGGATTTGCTACCCTTAAAGATGAAATTCGTTCCTTGACATACTCAGTAACTTTATCCCTAAGTTCCATTCCAATCATCAACGTTTCTGGGAACAGAGTGGAAAGGCTTATGAGCAGCCCTCCAAAACCACAACCAACATCAGCAAACTGAATCCTTTTGGAACTATCAGCTTGACCAGACGAGGGAAAGAGCTGAGGGTAATGGAAGGAATAGTCAACATGGCTGGGTGATATTGGCACGGGGAAGTGAGAGTCACTCAGTGGATTACTGTGTGCTCGTGCTCGATAGAAGCGCTTTCGAGGCAACCCAGTTGACTTGCTGATAGTTGGATTTACTTCAGTCTCAGACATGTATATTTATTCAAACTGAAGTATGGTAAAAGTCAGAATGTTAAGAATAAAGAAGATATGATGATGATGATTGATAATCATGGTGTACACGTTGCTTAGACATTAATATCAAGATTGAAGATTAAAATTAAGAAACTAATTTCACCCAACCTACTAAACTGAGAAACCTTGGACATTGAAGCGTGCCACAAGTTATCAGAGCAAGGTTGGTTGAATACGTTCAATCGCAACAATGAAACTTGTTAACACGTTGCAAACTAAACTTGTCTCATCTCATTAGCAATAACAGAAAAAACAAAGAAAAAAAAAATAGATCTCCTCTAGCTGCAACTAATGAAGTACTCAAATTTTTTTTAGCAGATATCATAAGTTGAAATCACATTGGCCACAGAAGGAATATCCCCATTATTACAAGTTGAATGGCCATATATACATATTTAAAATCGTACGTCCGTCACAAATTTGCTAATTTCCCATTGAAGTGTGGACTGAATGACAAATGATAAGATATGTGTAAGAGTTCCAGCCAGCACATGAGCACAATATTATCTTCCAGAAAAATGCAGTAACATGTAAACTACTTTAAGGAAGCTTGAATAGTCATAATTAAGACCAAAAATTGCTACAAACTGATAGATGTAGGTGATCAACCATTCCTTAACACCACAACTGACAAAGAAACCATCGGTTCCAATTCTATTCCCAAATTCCATGACGTTATAATTATTTAATTATCAATAAAAAAATAAATTGGACAACTATATCAACAAACTTTGAATAATCGAAATGTATTTTGAGATTTCCCACATAAGGGGTAGCACAGACAATCATTCAAACATCATGATTAGAAGATTGTTGATTGTTGAAAGAATTATTTTAAAAATCACATATAACCATTTGTAATTGGTTTCTAATATAAAAATATTTACACTAACAATAAATTAAAATCAAACTCAAACTCAAATTACAATATCCAGCGGTGACTCCCCTTTCTGTAACAAAAGAAACCACACTACAATATAGTATTGCTTAATAACAAAATTATAAACTTATCAGACATTAATATAGGACCAAAATAACAGAATATGTATTTTTTTCGAAATAATCAAGAAATAAATGATAGTAGTTTGGGAAAACCACAATCGAATCACGCAAGTTTGTGGTTTAGGAATTATGGCAATCGCCTGAAGTGCATACCAATTTGCTTGATACTCCACAGATGGAATAATGCATACATGATTCAGGCAAACACTAACTTCAACCTATGTTAAACTTGAACAACGAAGAAAAAGAATAACTGATTGGCTATAGAGAACAATCAACCGCAATCACAAAAATATAAAAATCGTCAAGAGAAACAAATAAGAAAAAGAAGTTTGGGATTAATTAGGTTACCTAACAGAGAGATTTCGGGAGAAGACTTTTAAATTCTTCGAAACTGTATCTGAATGCAGTCACTTTGCTCAACCTCTGCAAGTAGCGGTAATAGCAGGAAACGAAGAAATTGAAACTGTAACATATTAGGCTTTGAATTGAAGCACATGTGAAGGAGGGAACTATGTTTGGGCTCGTTACACACTGGACCTGAATTCTCGTTGGGCCCAACCCTACTAAAAATAAACCCAAAAAGAAAATGAAACATATTTTGACTGAACGTTAAAATTTTTCCAATGGATTATAAAGACAGGGAAGCTTTTTTTTTTTTTCTCACAATAATATTGCTTGCACGCATAAAAATAATTAGATATGAGAAAACTTTCAATTTGTAATATTTTATTTCTTTTCTATAATCCAGTTCTTTATTAAAAAAAAAGTGAAAATGAATGGAATGGATAGGTTATCTTAACTAATAAATGGATAATTATTCATCTAATTTTTTACCCATTCAATTTTTAACTTTATGAAAAACATTAATTTATTTAAAATTTGTTTTTCGAGTTTCTAAATTAATTTGTGTTTGTGAAGTAAGTACCTTGAGCTTTTACACTATTTGTTGTATGTTTTATACTTGTACTTCTCCATAAAAATCTAGTTGCATTGTGCACATATATGTTGATTTAGGGATACCAAAACGGGTCGATCATTTCGTTTTGACCCGTTTCGTCTTTGGTCCGTTAAAAGCGGGACAGACAGACTAATCCGTTATAATCATGACTGATCGTAGACCTTGAATCGTCCCTTCAAGGGACTGGCTGATGGTCGACCCACCATAATTTAAAAAAAATAATTTATTTTTTAAAATAAATTTAATAATATGATTATTATTTGTTTGTCAATAATTCAATATATATATATATTATTTATTATTATGTAAATTGAAATAATATATATATATATATATATATATATAAATAACGTTAAAACTTATAAAACTTATATTTTTTATATTAAAAAATTCAAATACCTATATCTTTTTTATTTGATAAAACTTCACATTATTTTTGGTTGAGTAATTCTTACATCTTTAATTCAAGTCATAAGTATAAAAATAATCGAGTGTTTAGGATGAACAAGGAGAACAAGGGAGGAGAAAGAATGTTATGTTTCAGTAAGGAGAATATTTTATGTGAGAGTGAAACTTTTTTAATTTTCTTTTTAAAATTTTTAACTTTATATATTATCTTTATAATTAATTTTATTATAATAAAAAAATATTTTTTTATTAATTAGATGGGCCACGGTCCGAGCTGCCCGGTCCTGCGAGTTGGCCCGGCAGATTAGTGAACTTGGCGGAGCAGGCCAAAACGGGTTGGTGGACTAAAAACATCAATCCATCCCGTCATATTATAGCGGACTGGCCTGCCGAACCTAACCCATTTTGTCATCCCATTCTTTGGCAAACTTTATATAAAGAAACCTCAAAAGTATCATTTTCACCACAGTTTTAAGTTTTATATTGCTGATGTTGAGATACATAAATATAGTGCACCTTGTACTTTTTCTGCAACGCTGTCACGTAAAAATTCAGACTCATACATAAATGTTAGATTTATATTCTAGCTAGTGTAATGATCATAATAACTTCACAAGTGTATTTCTATGTAAACCATTTATAGCATAACTCCAACATGTTTCCGTGTTTGCAAGAATCGTGCACCTTAAACATGCGTGTTATATGCGAAAAACAAACGAGCGGTTTAGATAGATTTGTCAGTATAGTGATTTGTTTATGTTGTTCAGCCTCTTAATTTGACCACTTTTGTCAAGGGTAGGTCAGTTATGATGTAATTCAACTCAGAAAACTCAATCTGTTCAGCATTGAATTATTAAGCACTAACAAAAATGCTAACCATAAATTTTTACGAACATGTTTTTGTCAAAGTACACATTACAATTCTTAGCATTCGTTTTCATACTCTTTTAAGTCTTAGCTTATCAACTTATAAACTGTCAGAATCACCTTGGTTAATCTTTGTGTATGGATGGAAGTTTAGTAGGTTTAATCGAGCCTAAAAGCTGCTAACCGTGAGGGTGTTTCAAAAGTGCAAACAAGTTTTTTTAGTTCAAGGAATATTTAATACTGTAATGATTGATTTAATGATATACAAGCATATTATATTTGTATGTAATCATTATCGTGTATAATAAATTCATTTTCTGCTAGATTGATGATGGTTTAAGTCCTGGAAATTAAAACAAAAATTTGTGTTGTTGCTTTCTTCAACATTGATTTAATCATTTCCTAGAAAAAAGTTGATTAATTAATCATGATAGAAGCATGCCACAGTTATCTCACTCGTTCATGATTCTAGAACATAGATTGACAAGAACGATAATGGATAGAAGGTAACCTACTTATGTTTCACTTAAGATAACATTCATGAAAAATTTAAAATATATGTGCTTTACCTAAATAACAGACAACCATGTCTGAAGGTTCAAATATATTGTATCCTAACGAGAATACAAGCTATTACGGTTTTACACTTTCTGTTCATTTGTTTACTTATATTTCAAGTTTGAAACATCAAAATGATACAAGAGATCAGTGGATTTGAGAACTTACTATTCATTTATCCTTGAAATAATGCAGGAGATGCTCAAAACCATCACACTCATCATAACTCCATTGAGGAAATAATAAACCTTTTAAAGGTTGAGTTGAAGAAGTTTTTCTCATCCCATCAAAATTCTTCTAAAAGGACAATGGACCATGTAACATTTGTGAGTAAAACCATATGAACACTGTCAAAATAATAAAGAAGAACCTTAAAACTGGCATAGATCACAAAGGTGAAAATCTAGTACTTCATTTTTTTTAAAGGAGCATTGTTGGGGTTGACTACCGCACTTTTCCTTGTAACGAGGATTAATGTATCCAGTGAATTATCTAACAATGTTTTTTATATTATTTTAGGAAATATTTATAAGATATTGTCTTTATTAAAAAAAAACTCCTTTTAAAAGACAAGTGTACTAGATTTGATTTCCGCGCGCATGCACACGTGCAAACAAATATTTTATTAATGAATTTGACTCCGAGGAGATACACTTTAAAATTAATGAACAATGTTAATGAGTTTATTTAAGACATTTTCACTTAAACTTATTTACTTTCAATGTATTGATAATTTGTTTTAGAATTTTTATTTTAAAACAGAAATTAGTTTTTGAACAACAATCATTATTGATTTCGACAATTTAGTAAAAAAAATTCTTTAAGAGTAATGTCTCAATTAATAATATATGTGCAAGTTTTTTTAGCACAAGTATTTAATTAAAGCTAATTGTTAATTATATAGAAACTCACGATGAAAAACAAACTCTTAACTGACTAATTAATGTTAATAACCTTAATATGATATAAATTTAATTTGGAATCCTTTAGAAGTGGAAATAAAAATATAAAACAGGTCTATTTTATCATTTTTAACCCGTTAAAAACAAAATAAGATAAGACTAGCTTATCCGTCGTAGTTAGGATAGGTTACAAAATTTAATTTGGCGTGGGATGAATGGGCAGTATGTTGATAATTTATTTATATATATATATATATATA